TACCAAGGTAATTATACTATGGATAAAAAAATTGTAGTGAGGAAAGAGTGCTTGAAAAATTCGATACTGACAGGACAGATTAAAGGCAAGAGGGACAAAGGAAAACAATGCATAACTTACCTAACAAGCTTGAGTAAATAGATAGTACAATAGAGTTTAGGTGAGATAAGAAAAAAATAAAATTTATTAACAGCTACAGAAGACAAGAAATTGTGAAGAGCCATGATTGCCACTGTTACTATAGGACATGGCACAAGGAGTGATTGATTTATTTTTTTTACAGCTTATCAACCCTTTATATGTTATTTAAAGCCAGAAAATATTTTTAGATTGTAAAAATCTTATTCATTGAGTAGCCTTTTTTGTAATCTTTTACAATTTTTTTTTTTTTTTACAGTTTTTACTTATTGTATATGATAAAAAACTGAATAATTTACTTGTAATGATTTATAATTAGAGTTCTGGTTTGGATAATTTCCATTCAATGTATCTAATACAAAAAATATCAACTTTATTTGGATTTATTCTTGAAATAGTAAAAATCTGAAGTCAATTTGTTAGTGGAAATTAGACATTTTTGTACATTTTGTTTTTTTTTTAGATGATCTTTAAAATTAAATGCTGAGAAATTGGTAAAAGTGATGAATCTAATTGTTGGTAGAAGTAGTTATCATATCAAACCCTAGCAATGTTGATTTTCTAAAAACATGAAAAATCAACCTTCTCTACTGTGTCATGTCACAATGCATCTTGTACATTTATAAATATTCTAGTCATCCATGCATCTGGTCTGGTGCTTTGGCTATATACCTTGAGATTCTTGACAAAATCCAAAGAAGGGTCTGTAATGTTAGCAGTCCTGACCTGGCATCTCACTTTCAGTCACTTACTGCTGCTTTTTATAAATATCTTCATGGCAATTATTCTGATGATCTCACCTCAACTGAGATCTCAACTGCATTATTATAAGTGCAGTACTAGATTGGCAACTAGGTCTCATCATTTTACTTTTAAAATAGCTACGATGTATCTGGAAATTCTATTCTAATTTTTTTTTCTCTCAGACTTCTCACTTCCAGAGAATATTTTAGATTGTAAAAATCTTTTTTGGGGGGGAGATAATAATGGTTTAGTGATACAAATCTTACTAATTAACCCATAGCTGGGAGGAGAAGAGGTCAATTCATACCTTTCCCAAGGTATTTGAACATAATTGAATATGATGAGCCCAATGGGAAATTGAACTCAACTCTTCGATTAAGAATTCTGGTCCATTATTCAACAATCTAAATGCAACGTCAATTGTTATCAATCTTCTTAATTCCTGTTCTTTTATTTTTTTCCATTCTTAATATTGTTTTTCCCTTTATAATACAATCTATAAGAAGCTATATATATAAGTATTTCTATTTCAATCCAGCTTAGAGGGTTACAGCACTTGGTATTCTGAAGTAGTCACCCATTTCGGTACTGGCCAGCTTTAATGTTGCTTAACTTTAGTGATCATGTGTGGAACCAGTGTTTCAACATGATGTGGCTGTAAGCTAATGTTAGGAAAGACCTACTTTGATTTGTGTGAGATGAATCCCAGTGCTGCCTCAGCAAAAAAAAAAAAAAAAACATAGCTGTGTGCGTATGTATGTATGTATGTATGTATGTATGTATGTATGTACACTTATTGCTTCCATATGCAATAAATAAATAAAAAAAAAAAACAGCCTTGTCCATCACACAAATTTGACCAAATATTGATAAAGTTGATAAAATTTATTTTTACTTGCCATGACAAGTTATGTTACTACCCAAAGATCTGTTAATGATTGTTATGATGGAAAACTTCTACAGTAATCAGTGATTATAAATAAAGCCTAACAAGATTTCTGCTTGAATGAGGGTTTACACTATTTACATGTGGACTATTGTCATAATCTTTGATAAATATGCTCTTTGATTATCAAAAACATTAATGTCAGACTGTTATTAATGAAAATCTAATTTATAATCATGTCACAACACGTTCCCCTTTCAATTATTGAAATCAGTTTTTTTTAATGATATTTACTGGTGGTGGTGGTTTAAGTAGTTTACATTTGTAATTATTTTATAGCAACCTGATCAAAGGGAGGTAAACAGGCTTATCTTCAGTGCAATATGTCTCCTGCACCACGTCATCATTAAGAAGAAAGTTAAAGAAAAAATATCTATGAATGAAAAGAAACTATGATTCTTTTTAGATTAGAAGCAAAAACTGGATTCCAGAGGATATTAAAGAATTATTTAAAAAACTAATTTGTTCAAAATGTTTGATTCCAAAAAGAAAAAAAATAAGATAGTTGTGTCTGCCTCTGGTTATTTTAATTAACTCTTAATGTTAAAAGTAACAACCAAACTTCATTTTTTAGGTTAATTAATTGAGAAATTACTGAAAAGGAAAGTTATTATTGTTTTTACTGCTTTGAATTAGAAAATTGCAAAAACTCTGATATCAAGAAAACATTTAATCACTTTGTTTTTTATGGTTTATCAACCTTTTGCAAGTTATTTAAAACCAGAAAATATTTTTAGATTATACAAAGTTTTTATTTTACAGTAAGGTTCACCATGTACAAAGTTTAGGGACCACTCAAGGTAGAGGGTTATATTAAGGGGTAGTTTATATGGGTAGGAGGGAAAGATAAGGTTAACTCTAGACTTAGGTTAAGATAGTAGTAATTGGAGAAATGCCCTCTTGGGAGTCTGTTCCACAGAGCTGTTTCAGTGGAACTTATTTCTCACTGATGGAATATAAGTGGTTTGCTACTATATAAATGGCATGGTGGGTCCTAGCTATGAAAGTTAGACCTGGCGGAACCAAGGAATGTAATTCATTCAAGCATTTTTGACAGAAGTAGAGAGAGAGAGCAGTGAGAGACATGCCACATCCCACCTGTGAGAGAAAGGTTTTTTGGGGGCGGAAAATAATATTTATTATTATTAGGGTATTTGCATGTGTGAATATGACAAACCCGACTGGAATAGGAAATCTGCTCTCTGATTCCCAATTCCAAGCCTTTATCCATTACACCAGCCATATATGCAAGCTTACAGCAACTGATATTCCCAAGCAGGGACCCATCTAGGTAGAAGAGGGGGGACCTTTCCCAAGAGTATTTGCACATAAGTGAATATAACAAACTCGACTGGAACAGTAAAGAAAAAATATACAAAATAACAAAAACCACATCACTTGAAGACTTCCAACAGCACCAATGTTTATAACATGTAGCAAGAGTAGTGGCAATGAGTAGCACATGTAGCAAGAGTAGTGGCAATGAGTAGCACATGTGGCAAGAGTAGTGGCAATGTGTATCACATGTAGCAAGAGGAGAAAATAATAATATAATCAAGATGATGACTTTCCACACTATCATAAACAAAGGATTAAGAAGGAAACTCCAATCAATGCTAGAAAGAGCAATTACAGACAGTGTAAGTCTAATTGCCTGAAAAAACTGTTCAAATAAAAGGAATTTAATAAGATTTAGATACTAATAGTTCAGTGATAAATGTCTTACCAATTAACCTATAGCTGGGTGGAAATGGAGTCATACCTAATTAGAATTTGATAAACAAAAAATTATAATGTGGATATATATATATATATATATATATATATATATATATGAAAGGTTAATGGTCAGAGTTGAGTCAGACCAGGAAACTGTAGTATAAAAAGTGCTCAATATACGTGTGAAAAAAAAAATAAAGGTAAGAAGAACATGTAGAGCTTTTAACTTTAAGATTAGGAGGTTAGTTGAATACTGGACCTTGGTTTCAACCGTATGGCCTCAACAGGCGATTTCTATCAACTATATATATAAACTGATCCCTCACTTTGTGGCCACAGTAGTTCCTATACATTTCTATTCCAGAGAATGTAAATAAATCTAAAAGACGTGCCTGTGTAGCTAATCAGTATTTCATTGATTGATTCATTTGTTTTCTATGGCTTATTAACAAACAAGAAATTATAATGTGGATATAAAGTTGGGGATCAATTTAATTATTTACACTATTTACATTGTTTGGACCGTTATCCTCATCGTTATGGCCATATTCACAACTTTTTGGCTGTTGTACGCTCTGGCCTTCTTCAGGATCTGTCCATATTTCTGAGATGAGGTATTTTAATTATTTATACTATTTACATTGTTTGAACTGTTATCCTCATCTTTGTTGCCATATTCACATTTTGTCTGTTGTATGTGCTGTCCTTCTTCAGTAAATTAGAACTCTTTATTTCATCCGCCAGGTTAGATTGTTCTAGTTCCACATGCCATGCTTCTTGTTGAACTCTTAACTCTTTGGGTCAAGTCACTGGATTCAATCAATGATTTAACTGGTGGACAAAATAAAGGGATCAGTTTGAAATTCCAATCACCTGAAGAAGGACGAAGCATACAACAGACGAAATGTCATGAATAGAGCAACAAAGATGATGACAACAGTCCAAACAACATAAATAGTGTAAATAATATCAACACTTGTTGGGTTATTTAATGTTTAATTTTGTAAGGGACACCCAGTGAGCATGAAACTCACTACCTAAAGGTAATGGTCTACCAGACTGGGCTCACCAGCCATTTAGTCACTCACCAAGGCATGGAGGTAGATAAACAGATATTAATAGAGAGAAAATGAAATATTAAGAACAAATTCAATTAAAACAGTTTTCCTACTGAAATCAATAAATTATTATTGATTTAAGATGCATTGAACTAGGTTAGAGAGAAAGAAAACAACTAATGAAAAGAATCAGAAGAAAGAGATGATGATGGTAGAAAGATTAGAGATGAGAATTCAATTTCGATCCTGATAGATTCAGCAGCCTAATTGGTCAAAGCACCTTCCATGAAGGATGAGTTTCTGAGACAAAGGATGTGAATTTAATCCAAATGTTTGTAGTTAAGCAATTAAAAAGGAATCAGTGAAAAAAGATTCTGATAAAAAGGCAATGAGACAGATGGAGGAAAGACAACAAGACTGATGGAAAAAGGCAATGAGACGGATGGAGGAAAGACAACAAGACTGATGGAAAATGGCAATGAGACGGATGGAGGAAAAACAACAAGACTGATGGAAAAAGGCAACGAGACAGATGGAGGAAAGACAACAAGACTGATGGAAAATGGCAATGAGACAGATGGAGGAAAGACAACAAGACTGATGGAAAATGGCAATGAGACAGATGGAGGAAAGACAACAAGACTGATGGAAAATACACTAAAAAAACTGTTGGAGGAATAACAACAAAACTTCTGGAGGAAAAGCTATAGAGAATTAGCTATGAGACTGATGGAGGAAAGGCCACAAGACAAGGCAAAAAAAACTGTTAGAGGAAATGCCATAAAAATGATGGTGGATTGGCTATGGGACCAATGGAGGAAAAAAAGATGACAAGACTAATGGGAGAAAAAAACGAAAAATTGTTGGAGGAAAGGCCAAAAAATATGACAAGACTAATGGGGGAAAAACTGTTGGAGGAATAGCAACAAAACCAATGAAGGAAAGTTGACAAAACTGATGGAGAAAAAAATGAAAAAATGTTGGAGGAATAACAAGAAAACTGTTGGAGGATATGTCATAAGACTGATAGCAGAAAAGCAATAAAACCAACAATAGAAAAGCCATGAAATGGATCAATGAAAAAGTAATAAAACTGATGTGGTAAAAAGTTAAATTTTGTTAGAATCAACAAATTGCTTCTATTTTAGTCACAATATTGGTTTAAAAAATTTGACAACATTTAATAAAAGAAAAAGCAAATATGATATTAAGGCATGTCAACATCAATATGGATTATGAGGCACTAGTAATAATGCCAAAAGTTTTTCCTTTTATAAAAGTGTAGATTATTCTTTATAAAGAAAAATGCAACAACTTTCTCTTGTATCTTACTTCACAAGTACATTGTCTCTTTGGGAAAGGCAAAGAGAGAATTTGTTTCTAGAAGCAAAAAAAAGTTTGTTGAAAAGAAGTTGCCAAAATGATAAAACACAAGGAAATTTATTTGCTTGTGTATTTTTTAACAGTGCTCATATTGTGAAAGGTGTGATGTAATTTAATAAGTAAATATAGACAATTGTCTGATGACGTGGAAGATTCTGGAAGAATTCTTATGTAAACTTTTGAAAAATTGCCCAAGAGTTGTTCTGGAAAGAATGGCATTTCTTTTTCAAAGATTCTTTCATTATCTTGGTAACTGTCTGTGGGGGATGGGGAGAGAAAAGAAAGAATAAAATCCGATACCAATGTGAATTTTGGATGCATTGAAAACTTAAAAGGTCATGACATTTTGTCATCTTTTATGCTTCCAAATTTGCAAATGTTTTTTTTACAAATACATCAAAAAGAAAAAAAGATAGAAAGTCTTTTGACCAATGTTTTTGATAAGTTACTGTTTTTTTTGTTCCATTAATCAAAATAGGTCAACCACAAGAATTCTGCAAGCAGCAGATTTGGAAATAAAGAATAAACATCCAGTGAGATTTGAACCTTGCCTACAAAAGGAGGATACAGGTTTTATTTATATATATATATATATATATATATATATATATATATATGTGTGTGTGTGTGCATATATATATATTTATTTAAAAATTATAACATAAATATGTTATAAAATCACTACAAAAATATATATATATATAGATATAAGGTTGCAATTGATAAATTGTCATCTAAATGAAGCAAAAATGAAAATAACACTGGTAGCATCTCATTTCAGCAGATGTATTTACCAAAATTACAAAAAATATCTTGAAATACTAAATAGTAAATTTATTCAATAAAAATCACCATTGGCTTCAAACAAGTCCAGCCGATATTGGAATCTCCTGCAACTTTTCTGGACGGTCTCCTTGTTTAAGTTGGTGAATGCTGCTATAATTCTTGCTTTCAGTTCATCGTTGGTGTTACAAGGAGTTTTGCTGGTTTCTTGCTCATCTGTCCCCCACACTAATAATCAAGGGGTTGTAGTTTGGGGAGTTACATAACCAGATGTATAAGGTGATGTGGTCGCAGAAATTGTCTGACAACCATGACTGGGTTCTCCTGCTTGTGTGGCATGGTACAGAGTCCTGTTGCCAAACATAGGGTCTTCCAGCAGCCACCCTATTGACCCAGGGCAGCACTACCACCTCAAGGCACTTGATGTAGGTCTCCATGTCAAGTTTGAGGTCCTGTTGAAAGATGAATGGAAGCATATATCACCATCATTAGCGATCACTCCAAACACATTTGTAATCACTATCCAACTCTTTCTGAATCCTCTGCACTGTCCTCAGATTGATACCCAAATATACAGAAATATTCATATTGGAGCTTCCGGCTCAAATGTCAAGCGGTATAGCATGCTGTTTCCAAATTTTTGGCAAAGTGCATTGCATCATGGTACTCTTTTTCTCACAGATGGTGCCCAACTGACCCTACTATACTGTGTAGTCAACAAAATCAAAAACAAACGACATGCATGCACAAAGTTAAGAATATTAAATGGTGACAATTTATCCATCGTATCCTGTATAAGTGTGTATGTATGTGTGTATATATATATATATATATATATATATATATATATATATTGTGTGTGTATATATATATATATATATACACACACACACATATATATATATATATATATATATGTATGTATGTGTGTGTGTGTGTATATATATAAAGTGTGTGTGTATATGTATTAAGCCAGCAACCTTTCTTTGAAACATGTTTCTTTAAATGTGACTGACAATGAAAATTTGATTCATTTTTTATTTAGTTTTTCCAGCATTCTTATATTTTTTGTTTAGTGGGAGTAAGGAAGTGTTAAAACTGTCCATATTATCCACAATGCTTGCAGCCACTTCTTTAGCCATTTTCAAAGAGGTTTGTTTTTAGGTGTTGTTAATATTCTCTTCATGTTTTCAGTGTATAAAATGTGTTTTTGTGTTGTTTTGAAGACTAGTAGGAGTGTTTATTCTGAGCCTTCACATGTTAAGCGTGGCTGGAATTTGAGTTGGCGTCTTTCTATTTTTTAAAAAGGTTTCAGCACACCATTTATGCTGTTGAATAAGGTGAGATTTATACTGGGAGCAAGATGTTATATATAGCAGTGCCTCTCTCACAGCAAGATGTGTCCAGTAATTTGGTTTATATAAAATGTAAGTGTTTTTGACCAGAATTTTCTTTATCCTTGTAAATTGTAAGTGGTTAAATGCTTTTCTTTTTATAGCACTTTGATCAGATGAGTGGTATGTGTGGCATCTACTCAAGGAGATAGTAGTGTGCCTGATATAAGTATTTGATTTGTGACAAAAAACACTGTATTGTACTGGGCACTGAAATTGATATTGGTCATTGCTAGTTTAGATTTGATGGCTATTTTTTTGATTAGTGACAACAAGGTTTGCAGTTTTCCATTTTCTGTAATATATTATAAATTTTACATGTTTTTTTTCAGGATTTAAGACAGAAAAACATTGTCTAATGATTCTTTATATAGCAAATTCATCCTGCTTATAGTTATTATGCATCTGGTTGCAGTAAAATAGGTTGATGTTTTGTTGTATAGTAAACTAATGTTTGTTTTATTTCCTTTAGTTCATTCAGTAGTATTCTCTCAGAAGAATAATTTAGGTTTGCTCTATTTAGGAAGTTTTTTCATCACTGCTATTTTATATTTTCTGGGCATTGGCTTTCATAGTTTGAAGACAAGTGTTTATACTGGTGTTTCTTTTTTATACAGATAGGAGGTAAATTATTTGGATTTTAATTCTATACTGATGTCAAGGAAGTGCTTATGTAAATTTTAGTGTTGAGATTTTTTTTCAAAAGTTGATTTTAGATTTAAAATTTTGTCCTTATTTTATATCAGAATGACGTCAACATATCTTGTGTAGATTTGTGGTTTGTTAGTTGTTTTAAAACCTTTGTTTTCAGTATGTAACATTTAAAAGAAAAGGCAGGACTTAATAGTTTTCCTCTGCTGACGCCATTAGTTTAGATGTAGGTGTTACCATTATTATCATAGAATGGGGCTTTTATGGTAAAGGTGGGGAGTAGTTTCCTAAGAGTTGCCGGCCAAATTTTTGGAGGAGGGATTGATGGGTGTTTGTAGATGTAATCACTAATTATGTTGATTGCTTCTTGAACTGGGACATTGGTAAAAAGGTTTTGAACATCAATCAAAGCTCGGGTTCTACCTGTGATATTTGTTGCGTTTAAAATATACAGAAATTTATTTGTGGATGTGATGCTGTTAATTGTTGGGTGGGTATGAAGAAAATATGTCATTTACGTTTTGTGATAACTGGTATACTGGTATAGGTATTTGGGATATGATAAGTCAGAGAGGAAAACCTGGTTTATGGGGTTTTATGTTACCATACAGATATCCTGGTTGGTAATCACTGACAATCTTATTGATTTTTAGGCTTCTGATCTCACCATTATTCACTGTAATCAGTTTGTTCACATGTATTTTTAGTGATTCTGTGGGATTTTACCTAAATTCCTTATATATATATATATATATATATATATATATATATATATATATATATATATATATATATATATATAAAGTGAACATAGAAAGTCAACACTTAGGCGACAGTCTGTTTCATGCTATATGCAATCGTCAGGCCATGATGGCCTGATGATTGCATATATATGAAACAGACTGTTGCCTCTAAGTGATGACTTCTAAGTTCACTTTTATATTTACACACGCTCTATCTCTGATATTGAGCACTTTATCCCATAAATATAGCACACCTTAAGACTATATTTCTTCATATATATTATATATAAAATTGGATTTTATCTAAATTAACATTTTTATATAGAACAGTAAGATATATAATCCAGTGTTCTTATAGATATTTTTATTTTTACAAAATAGTGCTCAATGTAAATTTACAGAGCTTTAATATTATAAATTAATTGATTTAAAATATGTTTTTTTGCTACACAATTCTAACCATGTTTCAAAAATGGATTCCATTTTTGAAACATGGTTAGAACTGTGTAGTGAAAAAAATATATTTTAAATCAATTAATTTATAATATTATATATATATATGTGTGTGTGTGTGTGTGTGTGTGTAAAATTGGAAATAGACTTATTCATAAAATGAACCCCTTGATGAATAGATAATTCAAAAAAACTTCGAAGTTGGGGAAACAACATCAAAAATTGATATTTACAG